CTAAGTTAACGGTGGACAACAAACGTCTTAGAAAAAAAAAGGAATTGTGAAGAAGCGATAAAATATATAAAATGAACCTAAAAACCCTTTTTTTAAAAAGCCCTCAATAGGGGGGGGGGAAGAATCCGGGATCCTGCAAGGTGAAGTCCGGAGTCAACCCCTATTTGGGACTCTATTAAGATCCCACCTTATAAACCTACAAACCTTTGCAATTAGGGGAGACCGAGGTGAGTTGTGACAGAGGTGAGTTGTGACAAGGAGGATTTCTCTCTACCTATTATAGTAAGCGAGATGGCTTTAACGCTTGTTTGTCGTTCTCGACACGCGCTACACGAATCAGTACCTGTCGACGGTGCATATGGCACAGTTGCGTAAATATATCGTCAGTGTACAAAAAATTACGAAAAGTAAGTTTTTCTTCAAAATATTATTTGAATATATATCATATCTTAGTATATGTGCATTGATGTGTTATTTTTTCTTAAGTTATGTAGTTATTTAAGTCTCAATACGTGGCACTGATTTTTTGTATGCGCATCGTGTTTAGAAAATATGAATTATTATTCGGACCAAGACGTCATTTTGAACACCTAGGCGAGTTGTGACAGCCTGTCACAACTCTCCTATCTTACTCCATATTTCTGCTGGGCTATTTTTACAATGTTTTTTATTAACTTTAGATGTTTGTTGTTGTGTTAGTAGCTACTTAAGGTGTATAATGGCATACCGCATACTTATTTTATTTGAGAATGCCAAATAACTATACAGAGACTGAAAATCTAAGAATGTTAAGAAGCGTGTCTTAAGCGAAGAAAAAATAAAGAAACCTAAAAAACCAAAGAAGACTAATAAGAAAAATAGAACAAGTGATGAAGAAGATGCAGAAAATAATTGCTTTTATTTGGTTTGCTTTAAAGCCAATGCAGACAGCAGATCGAATGATCAGTGGGTCCAAAGCCTTGAATGCAAAGGCTAGGCACACGTAGATTGTACTGGGGACGAGCTGCATTACGTTTGGCATAATTGTGAATTTGATTAGATTAAGATTTTATACTAATTATAACAATATTATGATTGACCTCAAAGCGATACCATATTAAGTTAATGAAAATATTATAATTACTTGTTATGAGAATATTAATACTATGTTGTTTTAGTTGGTTGGTATTAAAAGATGATTAATCAAGTCAAATCAAATCAATCTTTATTGTTGATCGCAGGTTATATAAAGATATTGGATGCAAGGACTGAATAGTTACACCGTGATCTGCCTAAAAGGCATACAATATTAGTAGGTTAGTAATTGTCAACTAATCTAATCAATAACATGTTATGTCAAAAATTCAATTAATTCATTAAGTATTTATACATTTACAAAGTACTGTTAGCTAGATAGTCGTTTACACTATAATATGCTTTAGCTACTAATAATTTACAAAGTTTTCTTTTAAAAACATTACAATTATCCAGATAACTTATTGTTTTCGGAATTTTATCAAAAATTTTTGGAGCCATACAAAAGATACTTTTGTTCAACACAGCTGTCTTAGAGGGTATCGTACACAATTTGTCTCGATGACGCAATCTCGTCTTATTTTCAAATAGTTGTTGATTCTGTTTGACAAAAATACCAACTTCGAATATATAGATTGATGGCAGGGTTATAATATTTAGTTTAATAAAATATGGCCTACAGGTATCCGTACTCTGTAAATGACATATGCTCCTAACACATTTTTTCTGGGCTCTAAAGGCAGTTACAGAATCAGTCGAATATCCCCAAAATATAATGCCGTATCGAACAGTAGAAACTACGTACGCGTGATAAGCTGTAAGGACCGTGCACTGATTCGCGATCCTACTAAGTTTGTACAGTGCACAAGAATACTGGGACAACTTTTTGCAAACATGTTCAGTGTGTGTTTTCCAAGTCAAATTTATTATTATAGTACTGATTAAAGTACTGATTTGATAAAAAAAACGTGCTTGATTTATTTATGTCGTATATAATGGTATTTTTATATCTTATAGCTTAAATACAATGATGTCACAACTTACCTCGATACCTGTCACAACTTACCTCGGTAGTAGGAGAGTTGTGACAAGGGGAGTGGACTTGAATTTTGTTATTTTTTTCAGAAACTATTATACTTTAATTAATTTTAGTGATGGTTTTGAAAACAGAAGGAATGGCGCTAAACTAATTCACATGAGTCATAACTGTGGCATGTTTCTTAAGCGAGATAGAGCCCCTTATGTAAAAATTGTCACAACTCTCCTAGGTCTCCCCTATACAATATTCGTCGTTAAATTCGTTAAAGTTACTAATTTATTAAGATCATTAATAAATCTACGAATTCATAATCTTTAGACATCCATCAATTTTCGGATAAAAAACACGATTCTAATTTCTTGGTAATTGTTTGATCCTCAAATTCCATCGGGACTCGCCTTAGCTTTTATAAAATAGTAGATAATCCGATGAATTATTTTTATGTCAAATAAAATACGCAGTACTTCAATAATTGTTTATTTTCGATATTACATAAGTAAAAAAAAATGTTTTTAAAAAACAAGCAAAATTTATTTGAGTGTATTGTATTCTCCAAGTTAAACCCTTTCATTTGATTGATACTCATTTTGGGTGGCGACCATTTTGGATTAATAATAATACCGATTACCTAATATATAATTACATTGTCATCAGAACTAAAGGTATATTTCAAATTTCAGCTCAAGCTTAGACTGGGAAGTGAATGAAATTTAGTTTGCAGGATTTGATTAGAGAAAAACAAACATCGGGACAGATGAAACTAAACAAAAGTTTAAAAGTAAAGAGTATCGTATCAGTACCGAATATATAGGTATCATTGTTTACGTATATATATCAAATTAAAAAAAAATATTAAACAACATCACATACATTGCTCAGATTCCAACTCTTACTTTGCTCAAATACTCCATAAAACGGGGGTTTTATGGAGTGTCTGAGATAACGAAGGTATCACAACACCCAGACCCGAGACAATATAGAAAAGTTCCTTTTCTACATTGACTGGGAATCGAACCCGGGCCCTGGCGACACCTTGAAACCGGCGTACGAACCACTCGACTACAGAGGGCTACTTAGTGAGTAAGTTTGATACTTAATTTTATAATGGCTATATATGTTACCTTATATTTATTTATTTAATGTAGGCATATACCTTCTATGCTACCATTATGTTCATCGGGCAATCAGTGCGTAATTGGTAACTAAACTTTTTCGTGCCAGTGGCTATATCCTCTTTTAATGAAAGGATTTTGCGTTTCAGGTTGAACGATAACGCGTTTGACGATAATTTAAAAGATGAATTCAACATAAAAAAAAAATATATTTTAACTGACTACGGCGAAGCGAAAAGGAGGGTTATGATTTTGGCCGGTAGGTATGTATGTGTGTAAGAATATTCATCTGTATAGGCTATATGATAACTAATAAAATTCTGTTATCATTTGTTCATAAGCGGTGTATTTACATGCCGTCATTTTATAATATTTCTATACTTGATGTCATTTGTAGTTAAATTTTCGAAATACTATTGGCCCCGTAGACCGGATCCTGTATTAAGTCAACCAGAAATACAAGATTGTTTTCCGTCCAATAGGCCTAATCTCTCAGATGGGTATTCGTGCTGAAACAATCCTCTTTTATTGGCGTTTCTTTGTCGAAGTATTTCGTCATTTCTCTCGTAGTACATTTGTTATGTTGTGTAAAACCTAAACTTTGAGTTATAATCCGAGTACCGCGGAAAAGTTTAAATGAAACTTAAGAATATATATTACTTTCTAATATCTTTATTAAAGTGAAAGTTTTTTATATCACATCCAAAATATTATAGATAGTGCTTGATAATCACAAATGGTTCACTCCAATTTATCATTCGTTGAGAATGAATCGCCATTTGCTTCACAGTTTTTCTAATGTCATGAAATGAACGCAGACCTCAGTATCTTTAAAATCTTTTTGTTATGTGGAGAGAATTGTATTAGAACAAAATGTTCTTGACCGTAAACACTGATAAAAATAAACATGAAATTCGTTGTAAATATGCAACGAAATTCGAAACCCGTTTCATATGCAACAAGTCGAGGGACGTAAGGACCATTCGCACCAGTCAGTGTTACACCGTCGACGTCCATATTTACACTAAAGAAGTGTTAGATCGAAAAGTTGCTATATTTTAGAGGTGAGTTTGCTTTTTATATGATTTGAAAAATACAATTTCATAGTTTTTTTCTTCAAACATAAAATATACATTACCATATTTTTCTTAAACTTATTACAATAAACCTCTTTTTTTAAAATATCTGCTACCTGGAATCCGCTTAGGGAGTCTTGGATTCCACATTAATTAAGAAATTATGGCTTATATAAAACGTGCCTCTCATTTAGACTTTAGTATAAGAGCCCATATAAAAGAAATTCTTTTGCTATAAAGTTTCAATTTTTATTTCTATTGTTAATTTGTTTTTTTTTTTCGTCAAGTAAAATGATGAATAAGCTAGCCATTCAATGAAAATACGATCACAAGCTGCAATAAATATACCTAAATAGACAATTTAAGAAATCCGATACTAGTTTCTGATGTAAGTGTCAAGTAGCTCAATCGGTATAGCAAGCGCCCGGTTAAGAAAAAGTTATAGGTTCGATCCTTGTTTCCGCCTGATAATTTTATTTTAAATTTCTCTAAAATATTAAAATCTATACTGATATTATAAAGAAGAATTATTCGATTGTTTGTTTTTTGCATTGAATAGACTCCGACTCTACCGGATCGATTTAAAAATTATTTGACCTACAGGAAGCTATATCATACGCGGTTGACATGGGCCTTAATTTACGCGTGTCAAGTCGCGGTAAAACAGCTACTAAAATTTTAAAGTTTTATTAATGAAACGAAAAAGTGACATTAATTATGTTATTGTTGTAATATCTAATAATATTCACAGTATAAAATATGTCATCGACACGAGTGATAGCTATCACTGGATGTGACAGCGGGCTAGGTTGGGCATTAGCAGCACGTACGGCACGTGAAGGGCTTATCACTGTGGCTGGAATGTACCATGGAACGGAGACCAACGCGGCTAAGGAATTGGCAGAACTTTGCGCCCATCCGCACGCATTAGATGTCACAGATCCGAAAAGCGTAACAACTTTCAAAGAATACGTAATGAAATTATTAAATGCGAATCCAAACTACAGTAAGTGCCTACTACTTTTGTTTGTCTGTATATTTTTATCTACGGTCTCACACAATTTTTATTAATACGTTCCGTAAAAACTTTCCGTAAAAAGTCTCCCTTTTTATGAAAATAATGTAGTAGAAGTATGTAATTTGGCAGTAATTAAAGTTTTATATAGAACAAATGCAGAATGTTTTTTTAACAATGTCCACGATGTGGTCCTTAGATTGATATAAACTAATTCTTTTTTTATTCGAATTCGGGGAATTCGGCGAACACTTACCTGCTTATTAATATTAATAAGGCTCTTCGTGCATCAATATTAATTTTTTGGTAATCTTTTTTAGCTTTATACGCAGTCGTAAATAACGCAGGGGTAATGATGGTGGGTGATTATGAATGGCAAACGTCAAAAATGATAGAACACACCATTCAAGTGAACCTCTTGGGAGCCATGAGCGTTGTCTCTGCTTTCCTTCCCGATCTTCGAAGAGAAGCGTTACGGGTAGGTATTCGATAAAATCAATGGCGACTTGTACATTATTTTATTTATTAATTTATTAAGCTTAGTTAATATATAAAGCTAAATCTTTTTTACGAAAGAGGAGTACGAAATTTGTCAGAATTACAGTTTTATTGGATGTTTTGATTACTCTTACTTTTTTTCCGTCAAATTAAATATTATTAAAATTATTAAAATATTATTAAATTAAAATAATAAAAGGTTGTTGAAGATAATAGAAAAAGGTGTTTATGAAAATATAGATAAGGTAATAACTATAGATCTAAAAGTAGCATTCAGGTATATGTAATATCAAATGTAAGTAAATAATTGGTTCCCCATATAAACTGGTATCCCATTTTACCCTTTGAGAGGGTATCATAATTACCAGCGGCTTATCAGTGAAAACGTAACAGATAATTACTTCCACTTTTATAGTATTAGGATAAGAATTTGCATTCGATGCCAGCTATTCATTCGGATAAGTTTTTGAATCAAGACCATGCGGTGGGATAACCAAAATAATCAAATCAAAGCAAGTCCCAAAAAAAGAATTCTAATGCAAACCATAGAGACACTAGGTCCTTATTTCTGATAAAAATAAAACGTTATCATTCAATTCGACTAATAGTAACTTCAAAACTGTGGGCAAAGAGAAAATTGGGAAACATTTTTCGGAGCCAATCATAAATTCCTATATTAACTTTGGCTAACGGGAAAAACACCAAACTTTTTTTGGAGAATAAAAAAAGCAAAACAAAATTAATTTAGTCTGCCATTGATAGGAAACTTTCTTTGAGGAAGGAATCTTCTTTGCATCTCGAACGATGATTTCCAAATAAATATGTCTTACGTAGTCCGTATACTAGTGAATAGCCCCTACTTCAACCGGGTGCAAGTACTCAGTAAACTCCCACAACTTTCTTCTAGAATAGATCTTTGCTAGAATATATTTGTAATTTGTAGAAAAAGAAATGACGTACATTATGAAAGAACATATAAAATATGAAAAGTTTATAGGTAAGAGATACTTTATTTAAGGCCTTTTTTATAAGGTGATGGATCGTATTTTAAATAGTTTACACCTCGCAAAAAAATACAAACAAATTTTTTCTTTGAGAAAATTTCAATTTTCTCTTTCCTGTCCAAGGTACTCGAGACTGCTGTACATCTGCGATTTTCTTTTTTCCTTTTCAGCAATCACTCAAATCAAATGGCATGAACGATCCTTGTCTTACTGTTTTAGTTGTAACGCATTTAATACGGTTGACTATGACATCCTACTTGCTCTTCTCTTTAGCTAGAGTTCTTATCCCCTGTACTTGCATTGTTCTCTTTCTATCTTCGTGGGCGCCAGCAAGCCGTGCGGGTTTATTAATCGGTTTCTGACTGGACTGCTCTATTTGCTAGTGAACAAGTCGGAGTTCTCACTCGGCTCCTTTTCTCAATATTTATTAACTAAAATACACCTACTCTTTCGACCTCTTATCATCTGTATGCTGAAAACCTGCAGCTGTACGCACAAAATGAAATGCAATACTTGGATAGGGCTATTTCACAGCTACCTCAAGCGATTATGGGAATGGTCACAGAGCTTTGGTATAACAGTTAACCCTAACAAATGTCAGGTCATCATCATAGGAAGCCCCAGTCTAATTTCCCGGTTAAATTTGAGTAAAATACCTAAGGCTTGTCCAGGACCGTACTCTCTCTTGAAAGAGCTATATGGTGAGTCTCTCTCGCCGTGTTTATTGCCCTCTAGGCGCGTTATACCGATTAAAAAATTTTCCCCTGTCCAGTGCGTAGGCTGCCCTCGTACAAGCCCTTGTTCATACCCTTTTTGATTGCAAGATATTTGTTTCACCATCATCACCATCACCAGCCCTTTTACGTCCCCACTGCAGGGGCTCAGGCCTTCCTTATGGATGGTTAAGGAGGATGGGCCATGACCCTCCACGCTGGCCCAATGCGGATTGGAGGGTATTAACGACTGCAAATGCAGCCGGGACCAACGGCTTAACGTGCCTTCCGAAGCACGGAGTATCTCGAGATAATAATTTTTTGGTCACCCATCCCGTGACCGACCCTTGCGAAAGTTGCTTAACGACAACGATCGCGGGCCGCGGCGCATATCCACTACGCCACCGAGCTACTCAGATATTTGTTTCTCTAACATTAATCAAATATTTATCGATAAGTTGGATCGTCTTCTTAATAATCCTATCCGTTTCAGTCTACGCAAATACGACCACATTTCTCATTTTCGTAACCAACTCAAATGGTTACCCATACGCAAACGTAAGAATTTAAGAATAGTAAACATTCTCTTTGCTATTCTATACTTGGATCTAGATATTTGACTACTGTGCTTATCCTGGACTTTCAGATAAGGGTTTTCATTTCAAGGGCTTAAAACAGCCTGATGCTTTGCTCGTGGAAAATTCTATAACTGATCATCATAGCAAATTTACGATCAGTTTGTTCTTGCTTTCTCAGTTCAGCATTTTTAGAGATTTTATTGCATGACGCCAAATTAAATTTTGTCAACAGATATTTTGCCACCTCTTTTATTCGTAGTTTTTGAACGAATCTATTTTCGTCCACTTAGTACTTATTTCAATCAAATTATTATTTAACTATGTTAATTTGAATTTTCGTTGCTATTTCAGATAATACTTATTCCTACCATTAGCATTTCAAGTATTTGATGATTTTTAGTCATTCATAATTATCGGCAGTTAACACCTCTCGGTCAAGTATTAAAGTATATATATATTATTTTATAGTCTTATGAGTAATTCTCCATCAAAATATATTATTTTAACAAACCGGGTAAGCGCAAGTCAGATTCGTACACGAAGAATCCAGTTTAATTATAAAAATGCAAAAAAAAAAACACGTTGTTGGTTCACAAGGAGTTGTTCAAAATTTTTGAGTTATATACATTTGTCTGACTATTTCTCATAAACTTATAAAGCTTACAAAGTGTCATATTTGTCATATTAAATTCGTTATTTAAAAATACTACTGTTTGTATATAGTAACGTTTGAGTTTTAAACAACAACAAACTCTTCAGATTTATATTCCGATTAATATTATCCTTACTATCAAGAAAAAAAAATGACACGATTTATTAATCGATTGTTGAAAGATTTTTGTAATTTTGTAAAGAAAACCAATTTTATAATCTAATGTACCTAGTCATTTGTTAATTAGACTTCTAGTTCCTTGCCAGTTCATCTCGTTACAGGGTATCTCGCCAAAGATTTATGAAGCTATAACTTAGCTTTCATGGTTTAATAAAATCTTTTTTTTTTACCCCACTATGTAAGTGGAGAAAAAAAAAAATTAGACATTTTTTATGTTATAGAGCGGAACAAAGCCGCGAATTATCAACGTGGCGAGCCACTGCGGGCTGCAACCGTTGCCAGGTTTTGCCGCTTACAGTGCAAGCAAGGCAGGCTTATTGGGGTGGACGAAAGCACTCCGCCATGAAACCAAACCACACGGATTAACAGCTCTTGCTTTTGTGCCAGGTTGTAACTGTTATATATTAGTATAGTTATTTCCAACAATATAGATTTTTCTGGTTTCGTACCAGAAAAAGATGAATCGAAACTCTTATAGGATGAATTGATTTATCTGTCTGTCTGACTGTCGATTGTCTCCAAAATCATTAGTCTGATTGAATCGGTATTTCAACCAAATGTGCACGGTCTACTGTTATTAAAATAGCCAGTTCTTTCTGTCCAAAGAGTAGTTCTGTCTGACCAGCGACGCATCATCAACAAAACAACACCAACTCTTCACTGTGTTTCATTAAAAGTCGTTCCTTTCCAGCTAATGCTTATTTTTTCTTATTCCAGGTGGTTTTGTTGGTACCAGTAATATAATGTCGAACCAATCAGCTTACGGCACTGAGATGCTGGAAAATTTAGATGAAGAACAGAAGTCTATTCACGGAAAAAGAATTTTGACTCTGAATACCTATTTAGGGACAGCTCCTCGAGATTGCAGTTATAACTCCCTAAGAGATGAAAATATTACAGAAACATTTATGAAAGCTCTGACTATAAAGAATCCTAAGGAACTGTACATAGTTGAATCTTGGAGATACAAGTTTTATTACAGTTTATTAAAATTACCTCTGCCTGAAAGTGTACACCGGTGGTTGTTAAATAAATTTTTGTGTTTTCCAGATGTTTATTAAATAAATAAATAAAGATCAGAAGAAAAGAAATACTTACTTTATTTCGATTTGTTTCACGATTCACAAAAAACAAGAATAAAGTCAAAATTTGAATACCAAATCGACGACCTTACGTATAAAGGGGGAAATACATTTTTGGGTCGTGTTGTCTTTTTCGATGACTGTCGCTTGTACTTTCATACATTAAAAAAACGGAAATATTTCTGTAGTGAGACGCAAATTTGTCTCTAACTATACAAATGAAACCAATAACAATATGTGCTGGTCCAAGATCTTTCATTTCGAATTTTGATTTTAGTTAATATTGTAATTTTGTTCTCATTGAATCATGTACAAACGCAAGGTTCATTTTTAGACTGTAGAAATTGAAGTTCTTTCAATTCACTATCTAGTTTCTTGTTCCAATTACGAGTAGCTTGCTTTACTCCATATAGTGACCGATTTAGTTTACATACATATCCAGCTTTGTCTTCAGAGTTCTTTTCAAACTTCAAAGACCCCATGTTATTCATGTAGACCGTTTCTTTAAAGTCTCCATTTAAGAAAGCGGACTTGACGTCCATTTGGTCATCCTGTAAATTCATCTCACTGGCTAAAGCTAGCAAGGTCCTGAACGAGCTGTGCCTGACCACCGGTGCAAACGTGTCCTCATAGTCAAGACCTTGGCTTTGACTGAAGCCACGTGCAACTTGTCAGGCTCTATATCTCAATTATTTCGCCCCTCTTCTTTGATTTTAAATTACCATTTAGAATCAACTATGTTGCACTTTGCCAGTGGTTTCACTAAGGTCCATTGTTCTTTTTTTTGTTGTATTGTTTTTCTTTAATGTATGCAATTCTTCTTGAATTGCCTTTTTCCATTTATCCCCATTTCACCGACAAGAAGCGTTTTGAACCGATGTTAAATCCGATTTAGTCTCTGTTGTGTATGTGTCACATCCCTGTGATTGAAGTTCAACTTGACGTGTGCGCCGCGCCGCGCCGATGACCGACGCCGCCGATCATGACACGCCGCCGCTGACCGGTTCAAAAGATCGGCGTAAACGGCGTGGGATGACGCGAACTGCGAGTAACATTTGTTCGCTCGGTTGATAAGCATCCTCTGCGGCACGTGTAAATTGCGTTCCGTATTTCCATATTTAGTAAAATTTTAATGAATACAAAAGTAAAGTCAATGATCAGATGCAAACAAATAAAGAATCTAATCTTTCTTCTTTAATTACAGCTGTCAACAATGAAATCTTGTTCAATTAATGTAGCACACGTTTACAAGATTGAGGGCCGGTTTCACCGGTTGCTGATAAAGTCCCTGATAGTCTATCAGGAACTTATCTGCCAGATAAACTACAACTTTTGGTTTCACAGGTCTCGGATAAAAATATCTGGCAGATAAAGTATTAGATATGTTATCAGCCGATTCAAGTGGCTGATAAAGACGTTATCTGATAGAAATTTGAACTTTTTTTTATCTGACAGATAAAAAAAAGTTTCAATTGACGGGAACGAAAATAGTTTTAGTTTTAGACCATTATTGTGTGCTTTGTGTCGATTGAAGTCACAAGTGTCACAAATATTCTAAAATGGATTTATTTGTGTTTTTAGAAGACGAATTAGATGAATATTTCGAACGTATTACGCGACCCCGTAGGAATCGAGTAATTAACCCTAGACCTAATTATTTAGAATCACTTGACGTTCAAGATTTTAGGAATCGATTTCGGCTGTTGTTTATGTTCTATCGTTAATAGAAAGTGATATAAAAACTACAACGGGCTACTAAGTAAAAAATCTCCATTAACTAGTAAATAAAGAAGCTCCGTTTCTTCTTAATTAAAATTCACACTTCTTTCACGTTTTTGTTTTTCATTATTAATTAACAGATCCAAAAAGAATACACAAAGAAAAGTTTAAAAATTGAAAAGCGTCTTAAGCACAAAATATCAACAAAGCAAAACAAATGATAGTTGCGTTTCGTTTCTGTAAACATGTAGCTAAGTATACGAATATCGTATTATTTTCATTCTAGAATCATAAAATTATAATTCAAAATATGTGAAAAAAGTTTACTTAAATAATATTGAACACAAAAAAAAAATATTAATTAAGTTTTAAAAATGATTTTTGATTGACGATAATTTGGGTCGTAGTATTGAAACGCAAAAAAGCGACGTTGCCGTTCCGTCAACTAATAAGTGACCGATAACTTATCTGCCAGATAAATTATCTAGCAGTTTGATGGTGAAACAGAAAAAAGTTAACAGCAACCTTTATCCAGTAGATAGCGTTAACTATCAGATAACTATCTGAAACTTTATCAGTAACCGGTGAAACTGGCCCTGAGTTGGCAGAAATAATAAATTCAATACTTAGCCTTATTTGTCTACTCTAGCTAACCCGCTACAAGCACACCTAGCGAACGTGTATTCTCTGTAGCTGGCCTTACTAAAACGGTTTAACGATTGCGTCTAATTGGGAATAATATCAATAAAATAATTTCTATACATGATAACTATTAGGTTGGGGAAATTCTTTTCGCATATAGTATGCATAAAGTTGTAATAAAATCTTTCTGGCTATACCATTTCTATGTGGCTGGTTGGGGTATCATTAAAAAGTTTAAATTTTAAAGAAGATGTTGAATTCAAATTAGAAAAATGTGTGATTTTCATTAGTTTTTGTAACTGGTGATAAAAAACGAGACAAAAATCTTGGTCAAAGGTCAGTCAGGCTTTACAGACTGTGGCGAAACCAGGATTAACTGGCAAAAAGGTGATGCTGTTTGTATGAAGGATATTATTCATTATGAGCTGTTACCGTCAGGCAGCATTATCGATTCTGAACTCTACTGCGAATAACTGAAGAGATTAAAGCAAGAAGTTGAGAGAAAGCGGCCGGAAATAAACAATAGAAAGGGAGTGGTGGAAAACCACATGTCTTTGCTTTAGTAAGACTAGTGTGCCAAGTCCCAAAAGTGATTTTTTGCTGCAAATACACGCTCGCAGCTGTGTTGCCAGTTCTCAATCAACCCATACCACATCCAAGTGTCTGGAACTAATTAGATCCAATACTATTTAATACCTGGGTATCACCGTTTACGATAGATTACAATGGTCCCATCATATTAGGATTTTATCAAAGAAAGTGAGGAAACTTTATATGTATTTAAATCATTATGTAATGTTTCTGATCCAACCGATCATCACTAATGGAATCTGCTCTTGGGGCGGTGTAAGCAAAACATGCGCACGCGCGTGCTCACACACACACACACTCACAAACACGCTAATTTCATTTGTAGATATAATTTAATTTTGTATTTTTTTTTCATTCTTTTATTAATAAATTGTTAGTTCTTTAATCAACTTAACAATACCAACAGAGTTTATAATTTAAAAAAAGGAACTGGCTTCTGAGACACAAGTTTCATAAATTCAGATGCCAGTGTTTCATTACTATGTCATCTGGTAATGCCGCAATAAAGATTTTCATTTTCTTTAATTAATTTAATAGAGTTTGGCTGGAAGGTGTTAATGCATTTGCCGTGTAGTCCTGACCTTGCACCTTCAGATATCCACCTGTTTAGGTCTCTTCACAATTCTTTAGGCAGTGTCAGGTTAACATCACGCGTGTATTGTCAAAACCACTTGTCGTGGTTTTTTGATTAGAATTCCCAAAAATTTAAACAGATGGCAAAAAGTTATAGAATAACATAGTATCTACATATTGTTGTTTAATATCATTATGACTACGTTACATAATTTAGAAGAGTATAGTTGTGGCATAATTGATTGTTACTTAAAAGGTGTTATTAGTTTTTGTAGCTTTTATATTTATAATGTCAAGGCATTCTGAATTGTTTAACTTTTAATTTTCCATCATCTGACATAACGACGCCGTTTACGCCGCCATTTACGCCGCCGCCACTGAATCTTCAGCGCCACGCCGCCGCCGCAGATTTCGGCGTCGGCGCACATGCCTAAGTCCGACTCTATGACAACGCCATCTCACTTTTGTCCGCTCTCTATGATTCAAGATGTAAAGATATTAACCACTAAATGGAGTTAGTCTATTTTGTATTAATTCTAAAAGTCATAATCCTGGTGTTTCCTCAAAGATACAATACTGGCGACGAGAAAATAAATATAATAAAAAAAAAGATTTGAAGGACCTGCAGGAAATCTGTAATACAGTGATTTACGTTGTGTTCACCACGCGCCACGCGATAAAGAAAGTACAATATCTGAATTGAAACAATCGTCGTCCGGAATGCCTATTTATCAGTCGGTTACCACGAATTCAAATATTCAAATACCTTCTTTTAATAGTTTGCAGTGTTATTGGAGCATTTATATAAACATTTTTAAAAACAAAATGAAAATGTTTGATATAGACGAATCAAGATGGACGACATATTTATTAGCCAATGTGGGCTTCGACACGGTCACATTACTATCGGAACTGTTTCCCAGAGTGTATCGAAAAACGTCCTTTATTTATATAGATAATTTAATTAAAACACACCTCGAACCTCAACCATCTGAATTGGCGGAAACATATAGGTTCCTCCAAAGAAATCAGGAAGAGGGTGAAACAATTAATGCTTATGTGGTAGCACTCAAGAAATTAGCCATAACATGTAGCTTTGGCCCATACTTAGAAAGAGCACTTATGGATAAATTTGTGCATGGGTTAAACAGTTAAACTATGAAAAAGTTATTTACTTTTGAAAGATTGACATTCACAGAGGTTGTGAGATTGGCATCGCTTTATGAATGTGCAGACAATGATTCGAAATTGATAAGAGGATCTAGGAAAGATAATTACGGAGGATGGAGAAAAGAAAAAGAAATAAAATTGGTGAAGCCTGGTAATAATATAGCGAATTGAGCTTCCCTTGCATCCTTTTAATATTATGCCACTCAAAACCACAATGTTTCTTTAAAGATAGAGAATGCAACATATATCACAAGAAAGGGCATTTAGCTGCATTGAAAGGGCATTTAGCTGCAATTTGTAG